GCCATGCTGTCGGTCAGGCAGGACACATTGTTCTGGACACGTGAGGTCTATGAGAAGATCAAGACCTTTTCCAGGGGCCGCCCATCAACCAGGACATCCATGGACTACGCACCACCTCAGAAGGGCAAGAACAAGTCCAAGGGCAAGGGGAAGTCCAAGGGCAAGCCTGGGAACAAAGGGAAGGGTAAGCCCCCCCACCTGAACAATCAGGCGTCCCGGGGCGGTAACAAGCAGGCAGCCACCGACCCGAAAGGGAACCAGTTCTGTAACAACTGGATGCGCGGGCGCTGCCCGGGCAACTGCGGCCGCACCCACAAGTGCAACCTCATCCTGGCAATGGGCCGCATCTGCCTGGGGGACCACCTCCCGCAGGACTGCCCGGGTTGACTAGGGGCGCTGACCCCTACCCCCCGGGAGGCCTCAGGTGCCGAGGGCCCTGATAAGGCCCGGGGGGGCGAGAAGGGGCGCAAACGCCCCAAGCAGGCACAGAAGCCCCCTCCTGCAGGTGCCGAGGGCCCTGACACAGGGGGGGGACAGGCCAGGTGGCGGCCATCCTCGGCGGAACAAGGATGGGGACGGCAGAACCAGCGTGCACAACGCCCTCGCCGTGATCAGAACAGCCACACAACCGGCACAACGGCGGCGCCTCAGTCCCGAGCCACAGGTGCCGAGGGCCCTGATATGGCGGGGACGGGACGGTTCCCCGCAGGTGCCGAGGGCCCTGACACGGGGGGCCGCACCCAGAAGGCCCGAGTGCCGGATGACTGGCAGCACACCGCAACGCCAAGGGACACTCCCAGGAAGCAGCCGATCCCACTTCCGGCGCCCAACATCATCAAGCAGGACCCGGTGGTTTTCCACAAGAGCTCGGTGGGGCTGAATGAAGGGGGCCAACGCCTTTCAGCTACCCCCCTGACAAGTCCAACGGAGCCGTCACCGGGATTGGACATCTTCCCGTGGATGGAGAACATCCCTGAGCGTCTGGTACAGCGGCTGAGATGGACACAGGGCACATCGCCCAAAGTTCCATCCAGTGGGCCCATCATTGTCCTGCTCTATGCAGGCAAGGAAGACCCAACTTCCTTGGACAGCTGTCTTCATGCCAACTACCCACACCTTTCCAGCATGGTGGTGGCGGTAGACATCCTACGGTCTGGACCCAAAAGGGGACCACGATATGCTCCAACCCGAGCTGTATGGAGCTCTTTGCACGGCAGCAAAGCAGGGCCGAGTGGTCTTCATTGGAGGAGGACCCAACTGCAGGACATGGTCCATCCTGCGCCACATACCAAAACCGGGGGCTCCCACCCCGGTGCGAGGGCGCACTCCAGAGACACTTTGGGGCCTTCCACACCTGGACCAGGCCGCCCAGACTCAACTTGATGATGACAGCATCCTCATTCTGAGACAGATGTACATCACCAGCCTGGCAAGGGCCTCACGAGCGGCGGTTTCTCTGCCAGGGCCCAGGTCCTTCCTGGAACACCCGGAGGACCCAGTGGTGAGCAGCTCGCTGCCCAAAGCCAAGGAATGCTCATCCTTCTGGATCACAGAGGAGGGGCAGCTTTGGATGGAGGAGAACTCCTTGACAGCAATCTCCTTCGACCAGTGCCGCCTGGGCCAGCTGGTCAAGAAGGCCACTACGCTGGCCACGGATCTCCCGATCCAGGACTGGGATCAAATGCGGTGCACGCATCAGTCACATGTGGGCACCAACGAGTCCTCGACTCTTAGCAGATACCCTTGGGATATGATGGCAGGCCTGGCCAAAGCCATCGCTGTGTCACTCGCAGCGCCGGGGCACATCCGGATCCCCTCACAATTTCCGGGAAACCCCAAGGAACCACCTAAGGGGCGGGGGTCGGACCCCCCGGAAGGCCATTCCCCCCGGGGAAAACGGGGGCCCAGTCAAGGAGGCGGTCCCTCCTCATCACACCAGGGCTCAAAGCCCGGAGGCAAGAACGCCCCGAAGCCCCGCCTGCACGGGCAGTTCCACCCTGAGGCAGACACCGTAAGCCCTCGTGGAACAATGAACCCAGACTTCCCATCTCCCATGCCCCCGATGGCCGGAGATGCGGAACAACTGGGGAAGGAGGGACAGGGGGACCAGGTCCTGGACCGCCCCGAATGCCTGCCCGCTTTCAGGGTCCCACACCTCACTGACCGGGTGGCGATTGTCCAATTGGGTTTCCGCTCACGCCCCCTGAGGGATGGGGGGGGAAAACCTTCCCCAGGGAGGCTCAACCCCCCTTTTCGGAGAATTTCCCCATTGGCTACTTTGGGCGCCCTGATCATGACCCTTACCCGGCCCTGGATTGACGAGGTCCGAATGTCCCTGGCATCAGGTGCCACCACACACCCCTTCCAGGAAGCCGACCTCGACCTCCATGAACGATGCCCAGGACAACCCTTCCTCCTGGACTTAGTGTCGCACTTGGCATCCCTTTCAGGTGACCCTGATTGGGAGTTCCCCCTAACACTGAAAGAGGGGGTCCCCTTGGGAGTCTCGGACCCTACCTTGACCTCCCCGGGAGTTTGGCCCACTAAGGAGGAGCTTAAGGGAGAAGCCTGGCTGGGGGAAGATCCCCCCCCGCCAGTGGCTCATGATAACTACCCAACGGCTGAACTCTTTGCCAAGGAAATCGAATCAACCTTTTACGAGGAACGAGCCTTGGACATGGTGGACGGGCCCTTCACTCGCTCCGAGGCGGCAGAGAGGTGCCGCTGCAAACCGGAGGAACTTTGCCCGGGCCCCCTTGCAGGGATTGATGAGTCGGACAAGATCAGGACGATCTATGATGGCTCAAAAGGGGGAGCAAACGCACACATCCAGGCTCACACGGAGGAGAAGACCACCGCACCGATGGTTGGAGACTGCCTCCATGCCATCCACTGGCTCAGGACAGCGGCGGACCATCCTCATCTACTCCGAGCCCCATCCTCGGGCACTGATGAGGAACCTCGGGATGTTCACCAGCCGGTGCAGGGGCAGTCCCCAGGTGCCGAGGGCCCTGAGAGGGACCCCAACAGCACCAGCCTGCCCCCAGGTGCCGAGGGCCCTGATAGGGGCAGGCGGATGATGCTCCGGCGGCCTGGACGTCTCTCCGCGGTCAACACCCTCAGGGAAGGGGCCACTCCCAGGTGCCGAGGGCCCTGATAGGAGGGCCCCATTCCCCCCAACCCCCCCAGGCACGGAACGCCCTGGGGGGAGCAGGGGGGAACCCCTGACGTGGCAGCCGCCGACACAGGGGGAAACCTTCATCATCCTCAAGGCGGATGTCACCAAGGCCCACAGGCGCATAAAAGTGCTCCAGAAAGACTGGAAATACCAGGTGGCCTGCATCCAGAACCGGTGGTGGGTCAATAGAGTGGGCACGTACGGCATGGCCTCGGCACAACTGTACTGGGGAAGAAAGGCATCCTTGGTGCTCAGACTCTTGTACTACATCTTCCCTCAGGTGGACTGGCACTTAGTTTTTGTGGACGACTACTGCTGGGTCCTCAGATGCAGCAGGGCGGACTGGGACGCCACAGCCATCCTGGCCACTCTTCTGGCGCTGGGAGTCCCGCTTTCTTGGAAGAAGACGGCGCTCTCCCCGGTCAATACCTGGTTGGGATTCGTGGTGGACCCAATCACGCCCTGTGTGCTGCTGGCTCCAGTCAAGCACGTCATAATCCTGGCCACTCTCAAACGGCTGGCCCAGGGGGACATCTTTACCAGCAAGGAGGTGGAACAAGCCCTGGGCCGGATTCAATGGGCTACTTCGGCGTGTCCATTGACGAAACCTTTCCTCCAGCCCTTTTGGAGCTGGAAGAAGGCCTGCACCACTTCGGGCAGGCCACCGAAGCTGGTTCGTGCTCTGGCCATCCTTCTGGGGAAGCTCTTCAACCAGAGGTTCCCACTGGCATCTCCATTTGCTCCCACACTTCCATGGACGGGGGCATCTGATGCGGGAGCTGGCAAACAGGCGGACCATGCATGGGTTGGTGGTTGGTGCTCGGACGTGCCCAACCCCGACAAGTCCCGAGTGAAGTGGTTCCAACACAGAATCACACCGGAGGGCGAGCCGTGGGCCTTCACTACTGGGGACCCGCAGCGGGCGATAGCGGCCTTGGAGCTCTTCGGCCTCCTCCTTTTGGTGAGGGCTGTTCTGCTTTGTGCAGCCGGCTCGGCTTCTCACACTAGGATTCTGGTTGCTAGTGATAACCAGGGAAACGTTTTCTCCCTGCTTAACGATTCCACTCGCAGGATGCCCAATGCGGCCATCCTCATGGAAATTGTGTTAACACTGCATGACCACCAGGTCATGTTAGGACCGTCGCATGTGAAGCGCGACTTTAACACATGGGCGGATGAACTTACTCATCCGGACCCGCAATTTCCGACTGAGAACCGGGTCTTCCCCTCAGTCGAAAGCGAATTGATCAAGCTGATCTTCGCTACTTTCCTTCCTCACCCATGATGCCGGGAGGGCATCCGGTGAGGTGGGAGGATTCCTCCCTCGCTGTGGGAGTGGCATCAATTCTACTCCCATCAGCTGCTGAGGGGAGCTGCCCAGTGGAGCTGGGCAATCCTCCCATTTTGGCACTAATCCTTATGCGGCGTAAAGGATGCACCGTTTCGCGATTAAGGTACCAGTAGCACCAATGTGGTGCTTTGAAGAGTCTGGCAATACTAAATTAGAATTGGCAATGCTAAAGTATGTACTGGGAAGCTGAGAGTCAGCCTTGGCAATACTAAAAGTAGAATTGGCAATACTAAAGTAAGTACTGGGGATCTGAGAGTCAGCCTTGGCAATACTAAAGTAGAATTGGCAATACTAAAATAAGTACTGGAGATCTAAGAGACAACTTTAGCAATAATTACTAAAGTAGACTGTGGCTCCCTTGCAACGCCTGTTTGGCGTTGTAGGAATGGCCACCAGATGGATAAGACGGCTGCGAACCCTAGCAAGCATCCTGCATACGGGCCAAGGAATCCTAGCAGAGCTTCCCGCCAGGCCAAGTGCACCCGTGCGGCCCGCAAACGCTGGAACGCCGAGGCGTGATAGAGAGAGAGAGAGAGAGACTGATCATTTGAGCATTGCCCCAAAGCTGTAAACAGCTCACATGAGTGGGCCGTTTATGTGCAGCTCGCAAATCTCTTCACAAACACACTTAGGGGTTTTCAAGCAAATACAATCTGAAAAGCCTTTGCCGTGCTAGGCTTCAGGGAGGGCTGAGTCCCGAGAAATCCCCCAGACAGAGTTCATTTCTAGCGCCGAAGTTCCAATTTCAGGGACTGCGACTGCGACATTGAAGCGGGTTGGACCATGAGGAAAGGATATCAACCTTCCAAGAAACCCGGAAAAACGAACCCCACACCTCATTTTTCTTGGAGGTTTTTTTCGAAACATGCACCCAACCACTTGACGGATCCCCAGACATATCCCGCAGTGACCCAGAGCCCACTTGCACATCAAACGGGTGAGGCAGATGCAGCAGACGCGGCGAAGGCACTGGAGGTGCGAAGCCATTCGTTGCGACCTTGCCGGACTTGGTTATGAACTTCGATAGGGAACCACCTTACAAGCGATTGGCGGACATGAACCCCAACATGAATCCCAGCGAAATGATGTCTACCAAAGGGTCAGAAAGGTCCACTATTAAAGTTCATGGCCAATGGGTGTGTGTCAAAGGGACCAAAATGGTGGTGTTCCTTTTGGTTTCCATTTAAAGCAGCCCCAAAAGGGTACCCTCAAAGAGTCGCACCCGTACACCCTTTTGCAAAGATAAATGGAAGTGGGCATTGTCGGATGTTGGACAACTCCTCTTGAGGCCCCATCCACTTCCATGATCGTAGAGAGAGGATCTGTTTGACTTGTTGCCTCAGGCGTTTCTTCATTTCCCGTTCAACCAAGGATCGAACGTGCGGGTTTGGGTTTGGTTTTGCAACCCGCCCGCGAAGGTTCCCCAGGGTTCCTGATCTTCAATTGGTGGGGGAAGCCACAAAAGGACCCCTTTTCAACCCGTGTGCTGCCTGTACGTGCCGCCTTTTAAAGGGGATCCCAACAAGGGGCGCAATTTTGAGGTGGATCACTTGATTCACCTTGATGCTCCCAGGTGAGCATCCTCGGCTCGTACTTATGAAAAGGAAGACCAGGCCACTTGAACGCTGCCTTGATGCTAGTCCGGCCTATGTTAGGTGACCAGAGTTGTGCATTCCAGCGGACACCGGATCTTGAGCGAGCACGCAAGAGGCACGGCTGAAGAAAGTTTGCGTAGCGTCAAGGAGGCATCACTGCCAAGAGCGGCAACGTGTCTGCCTGCCAGTTCGCTGCTATGTTTTCTGTCGAAGGGTGCTTGCGCGCGGACCGAGAAAGAGAAGAGAAGTGGCCTTTCGACAAATAGATCCTTTGACCCTATCAGGCATCCTCTCCATCTGCAACGTCCCCTGGCATCCGCTCGGACTGGCCCGACACTGCTGGAATGCTGGTCGTGCTGAATCAGGAGTCTGAGAGGTTGGACATGTAGGCCACACACTGCCTGTGGAGCTTGGCTCCGCTCGCCCACAATCCCAAAATAACACAATTGGACACGTGGCCGGCCCACGCTTTGATGGGAAAGCTGGCCCCAACCTTCACCAAATCAATCGCCTAAGGATCAATATGGTCGATGCCTCACGGGTGCTAAACTAACCAGACCCGTAGACCCGTGGCGGCCCGCCTTGCGGGGCCGCTCAGCGCTCAGCCGCGCCAGAGACGACACCGGTAGCTCCTCCGGTTGGCGATTCTGACGGCTCCAACGGTTTTTGTAGTCACCCCTTTTGCGCGTACGCAGGACGCAGGCCTGCCAAGAATTGAGCGTGAAATACACAAGCGCTCACAACTATCGCAAGAGCTGCCAGTTATCAGGCTAAGCGCGAGCTCCCTCACATGATTAGCTTTTCTGGCAAGCCTCTGTCAATTGCCCCAATTCTTCTCTAGGTGGGCGGACGCCACGAGGGAGTCATGCAGCTGGCAAGTTGGTATGCCGTGGAAAACTCCACCAGGAGGGGTTGCGAATTGAACTGCACTGACTGACTGCTTAGAACGGCTTTTTGGTTGTTTGTCATGGTCAACAGATTCCTTGGGTTGGTCAGGAAAAAACGGCACCGCAGCGCCAGGCGCGGAAACCTCTGAAGCGGCTTGGCTCGGAAGAGAAGGGGGAGAGGCTGGAGCTTACCCGGGAAAGGGCTGTTATTCGGAGGCGCGCTAGCCCAAACAGTCCTTTCCGGCTGTGGAACCGCATTATTTTACAAGCGTGTATGTTTGTTCATCATTAGGATTATCATCTTTCATGTATTCGGATGATTGCAAGTTGCAATGGGGGAACGATGCGCTTACAATTGACGGAAGGTGTGCATGTACTTTGTTGATTTGTTTTCCCCAGATAGCTGCAAGCTATAGGGGTTCTAACTTCCAATAAAGAGGGGAAAGTGATTTGCGAGATGGACGGCTGGGTGCTAGGGCGCGTGCAGTTTGGGTGCTGGTCCAGGTGCTTTGGGGTGCTGTTGGGGGTGTTGTTTGCTCTTCCTCGGGTGCTGTCAGAGGTGCTGGTGTGCAATTGTTGGCCTGTTTTTTGCTATCTGGGGTCTATGCTGGTGTTTTTTGTGTGGTCGAATCTCGCGTACACCACAGTATGTTTTGGAATTGGTTCTGTCGAGGGAATCGAGCGGAACAAGTTGTTGCACTGATTTCGCACAGGCAGTACATGCTTTGCCGAAGAACACTTAGGCACCAGTGCACTTTTGTTTGTCAACATTAGATCGTGCTTGCATCGAGGTAGCGTGACAGGGCCAAGCAAGTTCGTCTTGACTGAGACGCGCGCACCGGAACGAATCACTGCTGTGCAAGCTATGTGTCGCAAGTTTCAGCCCGGCTCCGCGCGAGATATAGCGATAGCCTTTGCACTTCGGTCCATACTTTTCTTGATGTGGTGTCGACATCGCTGACTACAACAGTGCCAAATGTGAGCTGCTCCTTTCTCAGTTGCTGATATAGTTGGTCAAGACGCCCCTCCTGTAATGTGCTATGTTTGCTGATTATTTTGTGGTGTTGCTGCTTGGTTGCCTTGCCTACAATCATGACCGCTGTTTCAGTGACCTGCGTACAGAGCGTTGGCATGCGTTGGGATGTGCTATTCTTCCCATGCTGATTGCACAAGTTGTTTGCTGGCCCGAAACAGAAAACATCAGAAACCCTGTATTGTTTATGTATTCCTGCATCAAGCATCGATCATGTTTATCATTCGATTGGGCATGTTACGCAGGTCTTCTAGGCAAACGGTTTTGGCCTGTGCTTGTTGAATTTGAAGTGCTATCAACTCCTTTCCATACCCATCTATGTGATGTTTGCCCTCATGTTCACCTACCAACATGACCTTGCAAGCTGGATCCAACCAGACTTGGCTCACATGTGTGCTGAAGATATCATTCCAGCTTCATGCTTCTCCAACACGTTTCTGCTTGAATGTGCCACTCTTCCCAGAGTGAAGTTGTTGACGCAGCAACTTGCTGCACATGTCAAATGGAACAAGAATGAGTTGCCACAGGCAACCCCCAACCTGGGCACCGATTTTCTGCGGTGTCTCTTCAAAAGAACCCTAAACAAAACAGAGGTTCTGCTCTCACGTTGCGCAGCGTGGGCCTTGACATTCCCAAGGCCTCCATCTGTGTCTGCACACAGGCGCGCGCTTTTCGGGCCGATGTTTGCCTGGTTTGACTCCGCATCCTAGGCCCTAGGAACCGTTCTTGGTGCTGAAGACGACTGTGGATCGGATTTTGTTTGAAGAGGTTCAGGGTTGCTCCATCAAACTAAAAGGGTTGACATACTTGAAATTGGCTCCCATTGTTCTCGTCCATGGTGTTTTTGGTTTGTTGTTTGGTTCTGTTCATGCTTGGTCGGCCGAAGGTTGTTTACATACCAAGGACTTGGAAAGGGCCTCTTTCTCTCGACTGGATTCGGCGAAGCCAAGCCTTTGGCTTGCAGCCGATCGAATCCAAGTCGATTTTGTGACCAAATATGGCCACGAGGGAGCTGGATGACATGAATCCCAGCCGTGTCAAGGGCGCCAATTCAGCTTCATACATCTGAACATTTTATTGTTCGTCTAGAGCACGCCTGCCGATCGCCTGCGCCGCGATGGGGGTATCTGCGATGCGGACCTCCAAGGGGGACTACAAGGTGGGTCGATCACTCATTGAACTCCCATGTAAGAGGCCCTTGTTAGGGGATATTAAGGGCTTATCGGCTTATCTAGACTTCAGGGATAGACCCCCCTTCCTACAGCCCCCCGAACAAGCCCATGACATGTATCTCATCTCCCACCTGTCTCAGCAGATGAGGTAGTGATACAATGCACTGACAAGCAGAATTGAAGACATGGGTCACACATGACGTCCAAGTGTTTCTGAGCATGAAAAGTCCATGGAGGGCTCTCACGTGAAACAATAGCAACCAATCTCCAACACACCGAAGCACCAGAAAGCGAAGGGGGACTCTACGTTCGAATGCCCTTTCGAGTAACAGGACATTTTGAGGGAACCTTAGACATATTGAAAGAAATTACACGTGGAAGGCTTACTTGATACGAGTGCCAGAGCATATCTCGCTCGCGCAGGCAGGTGGATAGCCACCGGTGAGTGACCCTTGATTGCGTTGACTCGGCCCCTTGGAACCTGGGCGGCGCAAAAAGACGAGATTCATATTTGGTTCGTCAAGAAGGTAGACCCTTTATAAGGTGGGTTACAAGGTGAAGTCGAGATACAAATCACCTCTAGCAAATGAGGGTGCCAGCGAAATTCTCGCAACAGGCGTCTCAAGATTTAATTTGGGGAGTCCAGTTTGGTTTGCGTTGGTTTTGCTTGTCAAGCCTTCCCCATAGCAGAAGGGGGGACCATTTGGAGACATGCCCATACGAGCCACTGACAGTCTACTCTTGATTTGTGGTGGGCATGGTGGGCCCTGACAATCCCCATCAAAGCCAAGGGCTGTGACACTGTTGCAGCTAACTTCAGCTCAAGATACCTTCACTGAACAGCATGGAAGAGCACAGAATGGGTTTATGAAGGACAGGTACATAAGAGGGCCTACCATGGGCCACGGGTTTTCATACTTCCCCAGTTTCTGGCCTTGCAACTTGCTCAGAAGACCCCTTTGCGTGTTAAACAAGGCTTGGAGTGTTCTTTCGCGAATTCACCCAGTCAGTGAGTATATCAGTGGTGTATGTTCACCACTTGCGTTGAAAGGCAAGGAATTGCGCCGAAGCGCAAGCGAGCCGAGAGGCTCCGAGGGCTTGCCGAAGCCATCCGTTGGAGGCAATCAAGCCGTTTCGCGCGTCAGCGGTGGTAGCGGGATATGTTGAAGTTAGTGTTCATTGTAAGGTCCAATAATACAAGTATTATACATATTTTACATAGTATATATATAGTATATTCCGTGTACATAAATAAATATAGTGTATACAGATATGGACCAGAGTCAAGATATCTGAAGTTCGGGGCAGTTGAGGTTGTGAGGGAAGCCAAAGGAAAGCCAACCAAAAGGAGCCTCTGAGTGCAGAGCCATAGATGCTTTATGTTCACTTTCGTCTGAATGTTTGCAGTTGGTTGTCAAAATTGGGGGCCCCTTTCTGGCACCCCTTTTAAACTGCGGCACAAGACAGCACCAGATTTCCAACCGGGCTATATGTTTGACAGCCCCGTTGTTAGGTCGAATCTCGTGCACTGATTCAAGACCCCAGATTCGCTCCACCGCGACGGCAGTCAGTCTGAAAGCTGGGAAGACTGAACCTTGCCGCCGGGTATGGGATCCTGGTGGCCCGTCTGCAGATGCTAACAATGGCGCGATCCATTCGGCCAAAGGTTCTAGGGTTCCATGGACACCCTTTTCACCTTGGTTTGAAGGGACACCGCCATTTAAGGCCGAGGCGATTGAAACGTGTCGACATGGCTCGAACCTGGAAACTAGAGACACAGCTCATTCCCCGAGTTTCTGCACCTGAGCTGTTCAAAGGCAATCATTCATCCTCATGGGCTACCAAAGGGGTCCCCTGTGTAGCGGCCCAGTTTATGGATTGGGATTGGGCCAAAGTCCATTTATAGCAGCCCAGCCTTATACATTTGAGGATAAGATTAGCGGAACACAAACAGCTTAGGCTTTGGTGGGCCAATCACTCAGAAAGTGAGACAAAAGCATCAGTAGCAGTCGCGGCAGGATACCTGGCAGCAATCCCGACAACCCAGCGACGGTACAGGAATCTTCTCAATCATCAGAGGCCGTTGGGCCCCATTCATAGATGTTGGGATGCTACCACACGGACAGTTGTTACAAATGGCAGCCCTTAACCCTGGCGCCAATTTTAAGTGGGGTTCATCATTTCAAGACCTCCTACATGTTTGTTGTTGCCCAGCAGGAGCACATTATTTCTTGGGACGAACCCGCGGGCTGCGTCGAGTAATGGCATCTTTGAACGAGTGGCGTGTGTGCGTATGCTATCCAGTGCTGCCTGTTCGTGCATGAGCAGGGGGGCGATAGTAGACGACGAAGCGGCAATTCATGTCAACGTGCATTTGTGCACAACTCGCGTGTAGGACTGTGGCAGTAGGTGTATATATGTATATATATATACATATATATATATATATGTAAGTATACCTGAGTCAGTGTGTATGTTTGTGTGTTCATTGCCATCTTTTGGCGTGATACTTGTTCGCACATTAAATGCGGCAGCACAACTAGACGTGGGTAGTCTTTCGTGGAGGGTACCTGTTGTGTGGTTGTTAAGGGAAACAAAGGGAAAACTACCCTTGCAAGGTTTCCTCAACAAAGACAAACCGGCATACCGTAAACGACATTGTGCGGTTTCCGCCATGGGGTTCGCAGTTCCTTTGTCGTTGCTGGCAAGAGGCCGTTGGCCTTGCGGAGGAGATTCTCCGGCATCAACCGCGTACAGTGGGGTTTGAATGCGGGTGGTCCGGAAGAGCAGTGGGGAATCAAAATCGCAAAAGGGAGCCGCTGGGGTTCCTTCGCCTCTTGCAACCGCCCAGGTTGTGTTTGTGCGCATGTCTGTTCTTGAGTTGGTGGCCAAGGCAAACATGAAGGAAACCTGAAAATATTCGGCTTCCACCGTGTGGTTTCCAAGCCGTTTCGGCCATGGGTCCAATGTATTTGCTCAAAGTTGGGATTTGCAGTTGTTGAGTTACTGATGTCTTGTAAGCGCGGCCCTAGAACTATTTTCGCTTCCCCAGCCATATGTGTCAATGGGGAAGGGGTTGGTTTCTGGGAGTGTCTCAAAATTTGGTGCCACCTGGGAGTCCAACCAATTTTTCAGAACACCCTTACTTTGCGTTGAACATGTAGGTTCTACCCAGGGCCTTGATCCAAGGCATCCAAATACCAACCGGTAGTAAGTCCTGTTTGTTGTGTGGATCGAGAGACTGCTTAATTGACATCCCTTCCCCCTTCTTGTTGCAGTTGCCCACTCGGCCCGCGACCGCTGGGCAACTGGTTGTCAGATGGCAGGGCCTTGAAGCTATCTGGCAGCGTCAAGTCTTTGATATACATGTACCAGTCATGGCGACTAGTGTGAGGCCCCTTCTTTTGAAGCATGCTAATTTGGCCCCGGCAACTGTGCTCGCATTTTCCAAGGTTTGTCAATCCCGCGAGCGGAAGGGACATTTCACTCAGAGACTCACAGACATTATTTCTCGGATGTTTGCCTTAAGGTCCAAGCTCTTGAGCTTGACAAGAGGGGAAAGTTTGCACAGGCTTCGCAATGAGCTGATCCTTGTTTTTAAACATGTGAGACAAGATGCTTGAAACAGCCTACTCGGTTGCTGTTTGGTCAGCAGGTAAAGCGGTAGCCTTGAATTCATCTCAGAACTTGGATCAGGCACGCCTCGTTGGTCCAAGG